AGTGCAATGATATTAGAAGTTTAATTTTCACAACTTTATTCTACAGTCATTAATGAAGAATTTGTACTTTTAAATAGAAAACTGCTTATTCTAGGAAAAAAGTGTAAAATAGCAACTCACATTCTCTTTTGGAAAGGTAAGGCCTTAGAAATTTCTATTTTTCAGATTTATGCAAGCATTTGATTTAGAATCTATATGTTTCAAGCATTTGCAGCTTTTTTATTATAATAACCTATTAATATAATAATTATAATAACCTATTAACCCTTACTATAGTGATCACCATTGATCACCACTTACCTGTGAGCACCTTCTCCAGTTTTCTGGAAGCATCTCAGTTTTGCCTGTTCTTTAACTTTCTGTATAATTCTTGAACATCATTCACCAGCTTTTTGTGCCTGCCTGCCCACACATCTTTATCTTCCTGTGTCCTGAGAGAATGGTTATCCCCAGTCCTTGGAGCTCCCCTCTCTGCTTCTGTTTTGATCAGAAGGATCACTGTGTGTCACTGTGGGGACACCTGGAAAGAACACTACCATTGCTCTGGGGCTGAGTTAGGCACTTCCAAGGAGAAGCAAGGTGTTAGGCAGTAGAAGTGTTCAGTTGTAGTGATATCCACAATACCACAGGTCAGAAATGTGGGGATTTGAGCCCAACACAGCTTTCAACAGTGAATCCCGGCTCTGTCCCAGCGCACGCAGCTCCGCAAGGCTGACACAGGTGGGCAGTGCCCTCTGTGCCTGGGAGGAGTGGCACGGCATTTCGGCCATCCCTGCGGCTTTGGTGACACCGCAGGAGCTGGCAGGGTGCTCAGAGCAGCACAGCACAGCCCTTCCCACAACAACTCGTTCCCAAATCCCTTCTGCCCAGGCTCCCCGAGCGGAGCTGGGCGAGGTTTGCTCCCACTTGTGTAGAGGTGCCTTACCCTGGGAAAGGCAGGGGTGAAGGGGCTGTCTCAGGTGCCTCCCTGGAAACTTTGGAGGTAGATTGCTCTGTTTTCCAGGGAATTGTGCCCCATGGTGCTGCCCAGTGCCACAGTGCTGCAAGCAGGATGTTGTCTGAGGCCTGTAGCTTTTCCCTTCTCCCAGGCAGCACCACGCTGGCAGCTGTGCACTACTCATTCATGCATTCAAATAATTATAGTAATTCATTATTCAAATAATTAATTATTGAATTAAAAATAATTTAATTTCTAAATTAAATAATTTATCCTTTAAAAACCTTATTGAAAAAATACGTAACCATTTTATACTATATATACTATATGTAGTAGTATACTATAGTACATAACACTGTAGTATACTATAGTCTAATGTACTATATCATGTACTATATTATACTATATACTATAACATAAATAAGAATACTATATACTATCATATATACTATACTATAGTATTACAGTTGTTAAGACACTCCCCCAGCTTTTTCATTTGTTCTCAGCCACAGTGGCATGCTGCACATATTAATCATTCTGTTGTATCTTCATATGGGGGGAGCAAAAGCATCCTTAAAACACTTTGTCAGCATCCATTAGGTAAGTGCCAACAATAAGAAGTTTCCTCATTTCCTAAGCTATTCATGTTTACTGTCTTTGGTCATTTTAAATAGTGTTACCATCACTCAGCATAGAATCTGAGTGAAATACTATAACATAAATACTACACTATAACAAAAGACTGTAACATAAATAAAAACTCATAAACATCAACAAGTAAACAAAAATACCGTGTTACCATTCAATCCCAACCTTAACCAAAAAACCCATGAAGTTGCAATCCTGTGTGAAGAACACCTATCAGTGTTGAGACCTCCCTAAAGAAACAGAGATAACAACTAAAAACTAGAAAAATCCCCAGAGAAAAAAGAATTAAACCCTCAAAAATCCCTACAGACGAGTAAAACAGTTAAAACCAAAACACACCAGTGAATTCCAGAAGGGGAAGCATGAGGTCAGAAGCTGACCTCATCCTTTCCTGCAAATGCCCATCCCAGTCCTCATCCATGGCATGATACAGCCCATACATTCCTTGAGCTGTAAACTGGAGAACAAGCTGCTGGATTTGCATTTCATGGGCCTGGCAGAAGAGGCAGCCCAGACTGCAGAATGTGTCTATAGCACTCGGGTTTAGTTTGTCTTTTTACATACTGGTTGTGATTTAAGTTCAGACTAGACCATGTTTGTGACCAAGAAAAAGCTTTTCCTCCTAAGCTGTTGTTTACAGAGAGTTTTGTTTGGAAACATCTGCCTTGTGCACGAGTGAGCCCAAACGAAGTGATGCAAGGCAGCACAGCTGAACTGCTGCACAAATAACATTTCTTAGATACAGAGTCATTTTCCCTTCAGACAGGCTGCAGTCTAACAAAACACAGATAATCTGTTCCCGTGTTGTTTAGCACCACAGGGTTTCTAAATGCTACAATAAAAAATATTCATAAATCGCACACAACACCTTCCAGCACAGCTCCCAGCCCTCATTACCCAGCAGGTTTCTGAATGCTGAAATGTGAAGTCAGAACAAAAGTATTTCCCAGTCAGTGCTGGACTCCGTGGCTGTGAGGCTGGATCAGCATTTCTGGCTCCTGCCTCGTGGCAGCTGTGCTCACATCTTGCCCGCTTCCAAAACATTTGGGAAACATCTTGCTTTGTTTTCCCCTTCAGCTTAATTGTACTCAATCCTCTCTCTGAGAAACTTAGATTTTGGTCACAGATGTAGGAAGGAGTTTTCCTTTACCCCACTTTTGTTACAAGTTCAGTCATGGAGAACAGCAGGGGTATGTGCCTGACTGAACATAGATGACCAAACTTCATAAAGTGCTGCCGTTTCTCTCCTCTCATGGTGAACTTTTGGGCTGTCGTGCCCCTGCCCCGTTCCAGGCTGCATTTTGGGGATATTCTGATTAATCTTACACTGCCCTGTGGCTTTGCCCGTGCCTGGCTGGCTGAAGTGGCCGCTGCCTGCTCGAGGGAACGGGGACCAGCCGCTCTGTTCCCTGCTCCGGCAGCCTGGTGGCAGCACCAATCCACAAGGAACGCTGCTTTTCTCTGTGCCCTCGCCCACACCCGGAGCGTGTCGAGGGTCAGTCCATCACCTGTGGGAAGGCACAGAGGACTGTGATCCCAAAATACTGCCTTGCAGTTCCCGGGCCCTGCCCACGCCCCGCTCCTGGGTGCTGGCACAGATCCTGCTGCCTTCGAGCAGGTCAGGGACACGTCCATTGTGTTCTTCCCTCTTGCTGCTCTGAGCCATGCAGCTGCCCCAGCCCTGCAGGGACCCGGCCAGCCTTGCAGCAGCCTGGGCTAGCGGCAGGTGTCCCTGCCCCTGGCTGGGGGTGCCACTGCGAGGGCTTCAGGGTGCCTCTCCACCCAAACCAGGCTGTGATTCTGGGAACACGGGGACAATGATTTTAAAAATAAAGCGGTTCCATTTCTATTTCAGTTAAATCCAATTTGAGGGTTGGAGTTGGGTAATCAGGAGTACATAAATAAAAATTGCAAATGCTGGTTTTTCCCACTTGTTTTACCTCAGAAACAGGACATATAAAAGAACCTGGGAAACATAAAAAAAAAAAGTTGGTAGGAAAATTAAACAGTGACTGCCTTCTATAATTTCTTTGAAAAGAGTTATTATTTTAAGGAGACAACATTTGTTCAACCTTCATCTCCAGTGGAAGGAAAAACCCTGTAAAACCAGACTGAATATGGGAATAGCTATATTTAAATAAACAGTTGGTGTGTCTCCAAAACAGAAACTACTTGAAGTGAACAGAACAAGTGGCCACAACTTAAAGTGGTTTGGAATTGCTTCACTGACAGCGTTTGGGGCTTGGTTCAGCCTCTCCCCCTTGCTCACCAGGTGATCTCTCCCTGTTCTTCTGCCCTTTAGGCCTTTCCTGCTTAGCACGTCCTGCCTTAGGGCACTTTGAGTGTGTTCAGTGCACAGAGACACTGCAAGGGACTGGCCCTCAGCTGCTTCTGCAGCACACAGGGCAATTCTCCTGTCCCTCTGACCCCAGCTCTTTTGGGAACGGTACTTCCCTGCTGGCTGCATTCTGGAGGCTCTCACAGCAGAGTCTGTGATCCACTCTGCCTTTGCTTCAACTCTTCACGGTTTTTGAGAGATTCCTCTGTGAAATGCAGCTAAAAATCCACGTGCAGTTGCCGCATGAGACTGTAAAGCCAGTGCCAGCACAGTAAAGCAGCAGTCACTGAGGTGATTCCTGTTCCAAAACAGAATGGCAGATGGTTTTGGAGCCTGGACCCACCAGGATGGATGTGACCTGTGGGGTTTGACCCTTAGGACCCCTTGAAAGCAGCCTGGGCTCAGGCCCTTGGGCATTGAAAGTACTGTGAGTTTGGATAACACGGGTGCCTGATTTCCTCCCGCCCTGACACTGATTCATTGTTTGGCTTTTCCCCTGGACTTTGCTAAGTAATGGCTCCGAGTGCCTTGGGAGACACCGTCCGTTGCTTTGCAGTTGTTTTCCACTTTCCTGTGGTGTTTTTACAGGAGGCTGAGCAGCCTGTCGAGTTTGAAGAGCCTGACAGCGATGCGATCGGAGTATAAAAACATCTTTATGCAATTAGCGAAGCTGCTGCCGGGTTCCCTGAGCGGCACCGGGAGCCGAGGCCTCCCCGGGCTCGCAGCAGGCGGGGCTGTGCCATTCCCCGGCTTCGCCTGCCCTCTGCTGCCCTCCCGGGCAACTTCAGCACGCAGAGCTCCACTCGCAGCTGCTTGATTCTGCTTTGCAGGGGGTTCCACAGCATGCACGAATGTAAATGCACACAGCTGTGGAAATCAGAACGTATTGGACACGGTGTAGTTATTGGATTTAATCCCTGGAGTGGAGAAACTTCCACAGTGCAGTTGTTTGACAGCTCCAAAAACTGCCTAGCTGCAGTGACTGATCTTCATTAGGGCTTTAATTACATCTCAGAACTTAAATAAGTGCTCCTGGGTGCTGCTGTTTGCTGGCCACTGGTTTGTGCTTTATTTCAGGAAGGCTTTTCCCTGATTGATTCCCACAAGTGGCTGAAGATAGTGAGGAGAGCAGAGTGCCTGCTGCTCCAGGCACAGGCCAAGGTGAGCTGAGCTGCTTGCAACATTCCTAACACATAACACAGATGGAGAAAACCTCTGCCTTCTGGCTAAATTCAACTAGAAGGTGTAAATTAGAATATTTTTTTTACTCTAGATACTAAACAAGAACGGTTTGAATATTGGTATCTCTTGTAACTGCTAATATTGAGTTTTCAGCCTGCTCTCTGAGAGTTAGCTGCTAAAACACCAGACTGGTTTTATTTCCCAATCTATCTGCCACAACTAACAAAAAGATGAAGCAAATCTCTTCCAAGATTCCTCTGAGTCAGACTGCACTTCAGGAAACAAACTCTCTAACGGAGCAATAACTGAGCCATTTTGTGGCTCCTGGCACAGCAGCAGCAGGCTGGTGGTTAAGGTATTTGGTACTCAAGGAAACAAAATGGACATGGGTTTCTGCTCTCCCACTCAGCTCTCCTGATGACAAGTGGTTAGTTTGCCTTTAAATAATCAAACAGCACCCTCTTATTACCAATTTATGTAAAAAGTTTAGGGTTTTTTGTTCTCAGATTAACTCTGATACTTTGTAAGTATCTCAGTGTTTTAAATTCATAGGTTATGCCTGAAACCAAAACACCTCTGCACTCTGCTTTCTATCAGCTTGTTAGAAAACCTGGAAAAGCTGAAGGCAGCTGGGTCAGGAATTAGTTCTGATGAACCTGCAGGCTGCTCCTTCCCAGTTACCAGAGCCAGTCCCCCAGTGCAGCATCAAGGGATCCTGCTGCTCCTCACCAGCAGGACAAAACCAACATCACACTCACATCACATCACTCAAAGCTCTGAGGGGCACTTCAGGAAAGGAGGAATTTTAACAGCCTGAAATTAATTTGGTGCATCTCAGTGTTTCCTTACCATAAATTCACACAACTTCAGCTGCAGTGGTTTTACCACACAGCTTCTCTACTTTATATCCTAACAATGGATGCAGCTTCTGTGCTCATCTTTATGACAAATTTCTGGTTTATCTTGTACTCCTTATTTTTGTAAGTCATTAATGCTGCATTTACAGTGGAACTTACTCATCACTTCAAATAGGGCTTCAGTAGGGCACTGTGGGCTCTTGGCCAGCAGAATGAGTTTGAAACTATGAACAGGAACAAGATGACTATTCTTAATAATTTTGCAATGAATAATTTCCCTTTATATTGTTTTCCTCGGGCTCAGCCCCCCACCCCAGCATGGAAGAGATACAAATGTAACAATTCCATGACATCAGGGTTCTTTAATACTTCAGCCTCTGTGTGGTTCAGGTGTGCCTGCCCAGTCCTCAGTCCTCAGAGAGCTGTGATATGTCAAGTACTTCAGCCTCTGTGTGGTTCAGGTGTGCCTGCCCAGTCCTCCTCAGTTTATGCTATAAACCTTGACATATCACAGCTCTCTTTCCAAAAGGAACAATGTTTAATTTTCAAAGTCCGCTGTTGTTTATGAACTGCAAACTGAAGTATTTAACAGTCCTTGTGAGAAACCCAAGGGAGTCCAAATAGCTCAGCCTCAAAATTGATTTGGGGATCTAAACAAGCAAGTGCTCTTTGAAAGTGTCCTAAGGAAACTCCAGCCAAGTTCCTTTTGTGTCACTGAAATCAGAACTCACCTGCCTGGCACTGCCTGGCTCTGAGAGGCTGCCCAGTTCCTTAATTAATGAGGGCAAATCCAGCTGGGCACTGCCAAATGAGTGCTGCACTTCACATTAGTTTGACATTTTTCCCTTTAAAAAGCACCGAGACAGGCTTTTGTGCTTACCCTGCCCTAAAAATCTTGTCATGGGATTCAAACATCTCCAGGCAGCAGGCATGTAAACACAGGGGCTGTCAGGAAGAGCTGCCTCATCTCTGAGACAGGAGCTTTAAAGTGAGAGGTGGCCTCGTGTTCCAGCAGTGTGGGATTAAAATGGGCATTGAAAATGGGGCTGACGTTGGAACCTTGGGAAGATGAAGACCTAAATAAGCCAGGCTGGGTCAAGGAGAATCTGCTGCTTTTCTAGTATGTTAAGTTTTTTAAATTTGAAGTTTCAAGATCAAACAGAAAGTTCCATTAATTTACTCTCTAAACACTGAATGTGCACCTCCCTTACGTCAGCTCAAGGTGCTTAGGCCAAGCTTATCACACACCATAGATCCATTCCCATTTCAGGGCACTTTGCTCAACCTGGGGCACTTATTAAAAATATCTATTATGGCACAGCCCAACAACCTGCTCTGGGGGGGTCAGAGCTATCTGGGAGTTTTCAGTAATTTTTAGTATCATTTCACTCTTTGAAGTAATGCATTTGAATTTCCTGCACTCCTATTCAACGTGCTGGTTTCTGTTCAAGGAACATTTAGGTGAGAGCCAAACTGAACGTGTTGGTTTAGCTCCACACAGGCAGAGCAGGTAGGGCTGACTTTGATGCATCAGGAACATAAATCCTAACTGGAACATGCCATTCCCAGAATTTCTAGTTCAGATCCAGAGTTAACTTCTGCTTACTGTTGTGTTGTTTTTTGTCACAAATAACTGTGCAGAGCTGGCACAGCCTTACAGGATACAGGATACTACCTGCAGCAACAATAAAAGTTAATTTTCCTGCTACGTGTAAAAGCTGAGTCCTGGCAAGGCTTGTCCACTTGGCTAAACCTTGAATTAGTGACAGGTGGCCCTGCATCACTTACCCTTTTCTTGCATATTTTCACCTTGATTATCAAATCAGCAATCACAGTCTTCCGGTTAAGCTGCTGGGAAAAAATGAAAATACAGCATTTTGTTTATTTGTTTCTAAATTGGCACAGTTCTCCACAAATCTATTCCCAACTCCAACAAATATGGATCTAATCCAAGCAGTTGGAGGGGGTTCCAAGTTAACCTGACGTCCCTGTGGCTCTGAGCAGAACGAGTGCCGCATGTTCCGCGTGCAGTTCGGAGGCAGCTGCAGGGAGGAGATGCAGGAGCACTGCTGCAGCTGCGTGCAGAAACTCGGCGACTACGTCGCGGTGCAGGGGGCTGAGGAGCAGAGCCTCAGCCAGGACAGCCAGGCCATGGACACCGAGCACGCGGTGAGTGACACTCACACCCACAACCAGGCACTCTGCCCGCGAGAGCTGGACACGGGCAGTTTCTCACAGCCGTGAGACTGTCTGCACGGAACAGGAACTGGGAAATGTACAGGGCAAGAAATGATCAGAGCCCCAAAGTAACCCTGGATCCTGGCTGCTTTCTGTGTGCTCCTGCTTTGCAGGGGTAGTAGCTGCTACAGCTGCCCGTTTACTATTTGACCCTAACGTGGCACATCTAAAAGCAATCTCAGGAGGAACAGAACGTTTCCCCTCTCCAAGATAAAGTCCTGAGGTAACTGGAAAAGGCACAGACAGCATTTTCCAGGGTGATTATTCCAAAATCTCTGCTCTCTTGGGTATTTGGATCCATGGAAAAGAAGCAGTGTGCTCTTGTGAGCATCCATCCACAGCATTCTTTGGAGTCACTCCTAGGAAGTTGTTTGTGACTTCAGTTTAGCCATGAGCTAACAGGCCTGTAGTTAAACTGTCATGTCTTTCATTTTTAAAGACTGGAGCAGATGTGCATGCAGGTTCCATAAAAAGATGTCTTTTTACTGCAGAAGGTAGCTGAGCACATTCCCTTCCCGTCAGTGCTAAAAATGGAACTGCTTCCCCCCCTGCACATGCCCACACTCTGCCCTTATTTGCATTTGGTATTTTCTAGCCAGATGAGACTCTCCCAGACTCCTGCACAAGCCTTGGAGAGAGAAGATCTGTAGCACAGCTTGCACAGGTAAAAAACAAACATCTCCTGTTTAGAGTCTGTAACTGAGCCTGAGAATGAGCTGTCTCAGATTCCATCTGGGAAATGCCTTCCCTGAACGTTGGGATGCCATGAACTACACCAGCAAAACACTGGATCTGTGTAATGATCCAGAGCCAGGGAATAAGCAGCAGAACAAGGTGTTTGGCGGTGTAATCACCCCATTTGAATAGGAACAAATGACACACTGAGAGCAAAGAAATACCCAGAGGCAACATCCAAATGAATGGCTCTGGCACTGGTTTGACTCTGCAGAAATGACTTGTGCAGATCAGAGCTGAAGCCTGAAAATAACAATGGAATCACAGAATATCCCATCTAACCCTCCTCTCTGGCAGTGGGAAGCCATTCTCCCTTGTCCCAAGTCCCTCTCCAGCTCTCTGGGAGCCCCTTTAGGCACTGGCAGGGGCTCTGAGGTTCCCCATGACCCTTCTGAACCCTGACCCACAGGAAAGCATCCCCATGTTCCATGGACAGCTTCACTGAGCAGTTCTGGGTAGATACCTGGAAGTCAGCTATTGCTCATTTACTGGGAATTCAGGCCAGTGCAGGAGCAGAGGGGCAGAAAACTGCTCTTTTCTACTCTGCTTTAGTGCAGGTCCTTCTCTGTCTTCCTTACCCTTCCTTCGTAGTCGTTGGCTGAGCACAGAATCCCAGACTGGGTTGGACTGGAAGGGACCTCAGAGGTCACCTCATTCCAACCCCAGTGCCACGATGCCCAGAGTTCACCCACCACCACGGGAAAAAGCTGAGAGAGGGGATTAAACAGGGATAAAAAGGAAGTTTTAACATAAAAGCCCCATGCCTTGTAAAAGACATTTGGCTAAATGAAAAGCTTGGAAGTGCACGCTTGGTTATCCCTACACAATCCACGTGGCAGCACGTACAGCTCATAGAGTGTACACTGATTACAGGATGGATACCCACAGGAAGCCACAGTACCCAGGAAATTGGCATTTCCAGGGTCCATTTCCAACTGAAATAATTGCAGGGGCATTTGACAGTGTGTAACAGCTACACTGGAATCACACCTGGGCATCAGAGAAAAGCCCACACACAGCAATCCCAGCTGACTGATAGCACCCTGAGAGCATCAAACCCAGGCAGCTCCACGTTCCTCCAGCACCCAGGAGGGCTGGGCTGTGGCCGTGTCCTTGTGTCCCAGCTCAGGGTCCCCTTCCCACCTTGCGTTGCAGTCGGTGCTGCGGCAGCGGCCGGAGCTGCCCCCGGCGCTGCGGCACCCGGCCTGGAGCGCCCGCGAGCTGGGGCCCTTCATCCGCCTCTGCCTCATGGACCAGCACTTCCCAGCCTTCGTGGAGGACGTGGAGAAGGAGCTGCACAGGCTGGCCAAGGAATGAGGCACGGCTCTGCTGATTAAAGCTTGAGAAACAAGGCCTACAGAGGTTTTTGTCGGTGTTTTATTTTTAAAAACAGGTGAATCCACTTTTTATACATCATTGCACTTCAACAAATACACGGAACACGAATTCATGCAGCTACAGTTACGCACATCGTGAGAACCCTGGTAGGTCTATTTCTACAATCTTTAAATCATGAGAAATTACAGTGTCAAACTAAAGAGGAATAACTAGTTGCATAGAATATCACCATGCTGTAACATTTCATCATTAAACCAAAAAAAAAAAAAACCCCAAAAAAAAAAAAAAGAAAATTATAAAAGTTTGCCTGAATTGAATGTACAAGAATATGTCAAACACATCAGTGCAAAAGGATTTGAGAATTTACATGAGTTAACAAAAAAAAAAAAAAAATCACTTAAAAAGCAATCATATATATATATTTATAAACTGAAGGTTTGTTTTTGTTTCCAACTGCATCCCACCACCACCAGCAGCCCCTGGCACCACCCGGCCCCGACGCCCAACAGGACACCCCGCGCTCCATGGTTAAAGCCCTTAAGGAAACTCCAATGGCCCGGCATCACTCCCTCCTTCCAGCCATACAGTAAGGAATGAATATCAGCAGCTTCAAAATGAACCACAACGACTTCTGGTTTCCCCTCCCCCAAATATAAATATATACTGTATATATCTTTAAGTTTTGCTGTACTTTACAAAAGAAGTCTCACTAGATGGCAGCGGTGCGGTTTGAGCGGTGCCGAATTTAACAGCTACAGGAAGTAAAAAACAGCGCATGCGTGAACCCGCCTGGCTACTGCTCGTGTAAAGAGAGGAAAGGAGGAAAAAAAAGCAACATTCACAGCACATCAAGCCCAAAAGAGTTTACACCTTCTACACGGAAGCATTATTAAAATTCATCTGGCTAGGTCATCCTTGCAGGAGAGGCTAAATAAGGCATGCGTTAGACAGTCATATTGTTGCTCACTTGGAAAGGAAAGAAAAAAAAAGAAATCAGACAGAACTGGAGTTCTAGAACCAAGAGTTCCAACCCTTAAATTTAGCAGGTCATATTGCCATCAGTCTCTCAGAAACTTAAAGCTCTAAAAAAGAAACGAGAAAGAGGTGCTAGTCAATGGTGAACAGCGCGAGCCGCCGCAGCCTGCAATCCCCGCGCTCCCACCGGGGCGCGGCTCCCGACAGCCCCAGCTCCACCAATCGGTCTGGAGGGCTCGGCAGCTTTGTCTACATTTTGGCAAGCAGGTCCTTAAACCAGCCGCCTGTCCGAGGAAATCAATGAGCGGTCCCCCCCGCGCTCCCTGAGGCGCAGCGGGAATGTTTAAGGCAGGGAACGCTCTGCTGCCGCGCCCCCAGCGCTCCGGGCGCGAGGGCTGCGCCTGCCCGCTCCCGGCCGGGCGCAGGCAATACTTACATGATGAGCGTTTTTAATTTGTGTTTCTCTGACGTAAGTTTTTGTCTTTGTGATTGTTTGTAGAATTGGTTTTCCTGCAGAAAGGGATGAGAGAGAAAGGCATCAAAAGTCAGTCACGGGTACAGGAAAAAGGGACGTTATTTGTACTTCAGTAAACAGCGTTCCGGTCTCCCTTTAACTGGCTGAAGACAACACGGTTTTAGACTTTGCATTTTAGCACAATATTTATTTTCTACCAAGATGCTGCTTTTCTTTCCTCCAGTGCTAAGAAACACACCAGAAGGTCCAACACCATCTGTAATGTCACATGCAATATCAATCCTATGATTTATCACCTCCCACAACCCCCCAGATTAACCCAAAGAGTATTTTTTTCCCGAAAACACACTTACATTGGCCCAGCTGGTTCATCATCTGCAGCAAGAATCCCGATGCACCCAGGCAGAGACAAGGGAAGGAAAGAAAAAGAGAGTCAGTGTTTGCAGGGGGCTGCAACGCGAGCAGCAAACTGATCTATCTACAGCATCAAAGGCCATTCCAGTCGGGAGTGCAAGGATCATGGAGTTACTGCTCTGGATTCGGGTTTAATGGCAGGTATGTTGCTTCAATGGGTTTAGTTAACACTTGGAATGCTGGTCATGAAGGACTGCAACTGTAGCGGACAGATTGGTGCAACATGGTCAAGACTCATCTTGTCCCCAAGTTCCAGTGGTTCAATCTCATAAAAAATAGATGAGGAGACAAACCAACGGTTCAGTTGTAAAATCCTGCTGGATGTTTGCTTGCACTGACTTTTTTTTTAACACGTATTTTAATTTTTAAGCCGTTTTTGCACTGCTGATGGGTAACTCCTGGTATATACCATAGAGGGTAAATACCCCACACTCATTTTCCCCCACAGATGAAACAACCTCTACATTCCCCATTTTTCTCAATGTTTAATTAGAAGCGACCAGGTTAGGAGGAGGCTGAAGGGGAACACTCGATTCCAGCCCCAACCGTGGTCCTTGGGCAGCAGCATCCAATGTCACCAGGAGGAGTCGGGGTGCTGGGACACCTCCGGACACACTGCAGCTGCAGAGGACTGACAGCATCATCCTGCCCACGGCCCTTGGCAAAACTCATTTAGGAACTGGCTGGGGGTGGGGGAAATCTGCCAATGGGAAATGTTTCATATTAACTCTCACGACCAATTGGGCTTTTTTTTTTGAATTCTCAAACACTGTTTTCTCCCACGCTGTAGTACAGAAGACAAAAATGCATTTACACAACAGTACAAGAGTCAATCCAGGAGCCCAATGCTCCCACAGATGGATTTTGGGGGGACCAATTCAGGCCCTGCTGGTTTTGGCACTTGACAGTTGCCGTTCCCACCTCGTGCCGGAGGGATTTTTCAGGGAAGTCTTTGAGAAACTCTCAGCAGGATTCCACAAGGGTGCTTAGTGCACATGAAGCAGTTATGGAAATTACAGTCTTACAGTGTAGGCATCCGCATGAGCACACGCCAGGAGTAATGTCGGGGAGAGGGGACATTACTCCACCTGGGCCCTCAAGGCAACGGAGAGGCAAAGCCACCGCTAGCACAGACAGTGACCAGAACAAAAAATACTTCAAAAATAAAGAACTAACCACAAACCAAGAGCTTTACAGCCAAAGTAACAGACTAGCGACACACCGGTGTCCACAGAATTCCAGTACCAGCAACAGTAACTATCGGACACGGTACAGAGAACTGGGACTAGGAAGGACAGCCAGACATCAATGTGCTGTTGTATATACAGTGAGATATACAGAGACACATCAGGTACTCAAACACAAAGCACAGCAGAGGAATCTACGGCTTCCTTCCACAAACATCTCTGGGAATCAAGGATCCGAGAGCAGCCGAGCTCCGCGCTCCGGGCGGGACGAGCCTGGGAGGGACAGCGAGCCCCGGCCCCCAGTGCCAGCGCTGCCTCTGAGACCCAGCTCGGCTCCAACAAGCACCATCCACTGCTTTGGGAGTTTGTTTGGTTGGACTTCAGCAATAGCAAACTGCACCGAGGACACTCGCTACAAAATAACCATTTTCCCTCCTCTGCTCAAAGATTTAAATGCCCGTTTCAGATCAGCAAGTTTGTGTTGTCAAAAAAACCAAACAAACAAAAAAAAAAAGCAGCTTCAAATTTATAAAGGCTGCCATCGGTGATTCCTCACGAAGATCCCACAAAAAAGCCTACTGGGAATACTTTATTTGGTGGAACCCCACCACTCCTCCCTGTCCCATCTCTAACCTAAACCAGAGACAAAAAGACCAAGGGAAATTCCTGGTCAGCCGTTAAGTGCTGGCAAAGCATCCCCAGTACAGTACAGACACAGACCGAACCCTCAGCGAAACCAGGGGCAACAGAACAACAGAAAAACCAGTACAAAATCAGACTAAAGAAAAGGTTCAAAACAGCAAACTGAAATCCAAATTAGTTGTGAACGTGAATGAGGAAGTTTTCAAGAGTGTTAACGTTATGACTTGTGCATTGTATAGACTGAAGCGGAGGTTAAACAAACTCCAAAGCATGCAGAGCTCTCACTTACCACCATTTTTTAAGGGTATGATGCAATTGAAGGGGGAAAAAAAAAAAAAAGAAGTCATAGTAACCGACAAGATCAATATCACCCAAAGCTTTAATGCCACAGCCCTGCTCTAGAACAGTCAGTAGCACCTAGGGCAGGGAAACGTCCCCAGCGCTGCCGGAGCGGCCACTGAGCACCGAGCCCCTCCTGCAGCACTCCTCTGTAACAAAACCCCCCTGCTTACAGAGCACAGCAGTAACCCACAGCCAGGCCTTTCCTCAGGGATGGAATGACCTGCTTCACGGGGTCCCAAAGCTGCACATTCTGAGCCAAAATGGGAGAAGTGCTGCTTGGCTTTGACACGGGTAATCAATCCCTGCAGGCAAAAATATCTGGGAATTAAAACTGGAAGATGATGACAAGTAGATCTCCCTTAGCTCCTCCACTTGGATGGGAATGTGTTTTGTGCCCCCCCTCCCATTTTTCAGCCTTAATTTACAAGGTATTTTACATGTCACTCAGCTTCTTTCACCGCCTTTGGAAAGCTACAGAGTTTATTTTTAGGATCAAATTAATCCTGGGTAGCATCTTGTGACTGGTGGAAGTTAAAAATGAAACACAAGCGGGTTCTTCCAGCACTAAGATTCCAATTTTTGATTCTGAAGGGATTCTACATCTGAGCTCATGCTTTAAAACCTGCAAAGAATCAATCCCAGACTGGTTTGGGTTGGAAGGGGCCCTAAAGCCCATCCAGTGGCACCCACTGCCATGGGCAGGGACACCTTCCACTATCCCAGGATGCTCCAAGCCCTGTGCAACGAGGCCTTGGGCACTTCTAGGGATCCAGGAGCACCTCAATGCTCTGAAGGAGCAGCCAGAGCCTGTGACAGCTCAGGCTCCTGTGTCCATTCCCACGGGGATACAGCAATGCTGCTGGGAACAGCTGATGGCTATGGCCTCATTATGTACCTGCCTCACAATCTGCTCACCCTGACGAATTTGAAGTGTGGGAGAGAAAGATGTGCATAAAAGGGAAAAAAAACCCCACCAAAATCACAGGTTACAAA